GATTGCGCTGGCGAAACACTTGTAGAAGGTGCTGCCTAGCAGTGCCACAGCTACCCAGGTGAGGGTCGCAATCAAGGAGGCGACACTGATCTCCGCAAAGGCCATCAGGGACTCTCTTCTGGGGGCACAGAACTGGCTGCGGTCCTGCCTGCAGCAACCAGTTGTCAGAAGCCCGGTGCGTGTGCGCACACTTAGCCCATGAAAAAAGCGCCCGCGCAAGCATCAGCATGAAGAGCAAGCGTAGGGCAGGTTCCAGGTGGGGTGCCGGGGCACTCGAATATTATAGTTGAGAAGATGCGCTCTCCGCCTGCTGTCAGCCCTGTCAACAAGCTGTAGCCTCGTGTGCTGCCTTATTTGAGTAGGTTCACCAGTGTGGGGAACTTCTCCATGAGGCGATTAACCTGGGTCTCCATTTCTAGTCAGTCGGGCCTGCATGCTTCTGCCATGAGGTGCTTAACCTGGGTCTCCATTTCTAGTCGGGCCTGGATGCTTCTGCCTCTTTGCTGCCTCAGCAATGGTTTGGGTGGGCTGGAGTCTGGGACATCCTGTTCTTGGCAAAAAAGGAGCTTTTCAAAACAAGAAGAAGGCTTCACAAAGTTTTGATATCTTCATGCAGCCAAGTCAGCTTTGATTGAAAGCAGATCAAGCACATAGCCCCAGTTCCCCAGTGGCCACAAGTTCCTAAAAGACAATATTGATGCTGCTTTTTTTGGAGTTAGTGTGTTGGGAGTGCGGGGTCCTTGGGTTCACCCTGGGTAAGATTTCACCAGGGCTCCCCTTTCAGTAATATGCTGCAATTTTCTCCAGGTGAATATTTCCACCAGAGGCATTAGATATATTTAAACAGCAGGTTTATTAGGGGAATGGACAGAGGAGTAAAGGACACTTGCATAGCACAAAGGCCAGGAAAAACTGCCTGAAAAGGGACAGGTTTGTTGAGAAAGACCTGCATAATTGCAAGTTAGCAGCCTTGAGGAGAGCTACCCACACTGAGGGAGGTCAGTGAAGAGAAGCCCAGGCATGGTAGAGGTTGAGCACAGTCAGGAGGCTGCTGCCCTGCAGAGGAAGGGAGTTGGTGGGAAGGACACCTGCATTGGCAGGGTGGGCAGGACTGGGGCCTGCACAAGGGCAGAGACAGCACTGGTCAAGTCTTTTTCTCTTTGGGAGAGGCTCAATCCTCATGAACCTGGGTTTACTGTTGACTTTGAACAAATCATGTAGTAATTGGAAAAACAAACAAACAAACAAACAAAACCAGGAGAATCCATAATAGCCTCAATCTCCATATCTTTTAAGTTTTGGGTCTGTGTCTACCTGCTTAGATCTCATGCTTTGTAATCAAAGCATTGCTAAGGATCTTGTTTTCTACAGCAGGAACTATGGCTATGCTAATCCCTTCTACCCCAACTTTGGGAGTGACTCAGTCTTGAGATGCCTCCTTTCTATTCCTTCCTCCAGCAAACCACAGTTGACTTTGTGTCAAAGGGCAGGGTGAGGGGCACCCCAGACATTGGTTCCGCCATCTACCACATTGAGACGATACATATAGACTTTAATGGAAAGGAACTTTAATACAATTAGAGTGCAACGCAGAAAAGACAAAGAATATAGTTTACAAATCTATACTTATAGCTTGTGGCAGTTACAATTTCTGGTCAGAAACACTTCCATTGTTTCATTTGTGTCCACCGACTAGAAACTGGGTTTTTTCCTTATTGATCCACCGCACCAACCAAAGGAAAGTTAACCATTCCCTTCTGGGTATAAGTCCACCCAAACTGGTTTGCCCAAAGCAAAGCCCAAAATTCTGCCACTGTCTAAACACTTTCTGTCAGAGACCCATAAAAAAAAAATGGTCAGAAGCACCATCCACATTCATCATCTCTGGAGCCACTCTGGAGATTGCTTAGCCCTTTATACCCAATCTTTTCTGAAAAGACATTGCTCAAAACTTCAGCCTTTAGTGGGAATAGAATAATGCATTAATGGTGTGAAAAGATTTTGAGAAATATCTCTGAGAGTAGGCTAGATAGTATTCGAATATTTTGGAAATCTATAATTATACACCAATTTACTTCTTTACCTTTCAAGTTATGAGTTAGAGTTCCTCATGCTCAGCACATTGAAGAAATAATGTTATGGGATGGTTTTATTTTAGTACTTGTCTTCCATTTATCATCAATTTCAGTATAGGTCTCAGATAACAGACATTTCCTGCAAAAACAAAAGCAAAAGCAAGAAAAAAATACTGAAGGAGATATATATTCACACTGAATCTGAAAGTTCTCACAGTCATCTTCAAATGAACTATTGAGAGCTCAAACATTTTCTGTAAATTTCATGAAGTCAAATTAATGGTATGGCCTGCTTGTAATGCGTTCTAGATTCTAGCAAAGTGTCTAGCAAAATATCCTAACCCCATGACCCATCCTTGAGAGAAAAATCAAATTAAGGTCCATGTGTTCTTTAAATATCTAAAATGTGTAATACACAAATTTAGATAACAAACTTGACAAGTAAACAGAAAAAGATGGTTAAAAATTATATAGGTCAGGCCCTCCCTGGTGGTGCAGTGGGTTTAAGCACAGCACTAAGAAGCTAAAACCACTTCCTCTTGAGTTTGATCCCTGCCTGCCCCGGAGGTGACCCACATGGTGCGGCAGACCACTCCTGACCCGCCCGCTGCTCCCCTCAGCAGTATACTTTGATGATCTGCCTGTTCTGTCCCCACTTGTCTCTGTGAATCCTCTCACTGCCCCTGCACCTCTGGCCTGTACCCCAGTTATGTATGCACTAATAAATAAATCTTAAAAAAAAAAAACTACACAACTATATGAGGCATTGCAGCCACTGCCCAGGTATTCAGTAATAATTTGTGACAATAATGAGTAAATCAATCCATGAATGAGTGAATGAGTGAGAATAAATATGTGTGTATATATACATATGTTGTATATATGTACACATATACAAACACACACATCTTTCTTGCATATACATGGAACATACTGCAAGATTCAAAATCACTGTCACGTTTTTATTTCTGTGAGGTAGGAGAGCTGGTTGGCAATGAATATAGGGTGAGATCTATTGTGTATCTTCCCTTAGGATTTGAATCTTTAAAACATGCATATGTGGTCCTCCCTGGTGGCGCAGCGGGTTAAAGCACTGCACTGAGAAGCTAAAAAAAAGCCAATTCCGCATGAGTTCAATTCGCGCCTGCCCCGGTACAAATAAATAAATCTTTAAAAAAAAATGCATATGTTACTTTCAAAATTGAAAAGGCTAACAAATATGTCTTGAGTTAATGGAGAGGCTCTAAGGAACTATTCAGGAAAGAGATTTTTCATAGTGTCTTCTTTCTCTTTCCTTCTTCACACATAGGAATTCTATCAAGGTGTGCTAATGAAACTGGAGAATGCTAACAACTCACTTCATCTTGCCAGAAGTAATAAATCATATGAAAAGCACATAGTGACTAAGGAAAACAGAACAACTGAGTGAGAACTAAAGATGAGAAAAAGCAGTGAAACTAGAAAAGGCAAGTTTGAAAGGTGGGGTGGGTGCATTAATCCGTGCCTGGAAGGAAACAAATGGAAAGATCCACCAGCCCCCTTTAGGTAGACAGGCTGTGCTCTATCACATCTTCTGTGTGCCCACTACTGGGCAAAGAAACAAAGCAGAGAGAAAGGTTGGGAAAATAAAGAAAGGGGTGTGTAGCTGGCTGGGGAGCTCCTGAGGAAGGATCACAGGGAATTCAGCATCAGACAAGTTGGAAATCACCACCAATTCTTTTCCATGTATCCAGGCAGATTTTTTTTTTCTTTTTCCAGTTTGGGCTTTAATATTTCAGTTTTCCATCATTAAAAAATACCCATGTTGGTTGGCCCTCCCTGGTGGCGCAGCGGGTTAAAGCACAGCACTAAGAAGCTAAAGCCACTTCTGCATGAGTTCAATCCCCGCCTGCCCCGAAGGTGACCACATGGCATGGCAGACCTCTCCTGACCTGCCCGCTGCTCCCCTCAGCAGTGTACTTCGTTGATCTGCCTGTTCTGCTCCCCACTCTGTCTCTGGTGAATCCTCTCACCCTCCGCATCTCTGGCTTGTACCCCAGTTCTGTATGAATAAATAAATAAATCTTAAAAAAAAATACCCATGTTGGAAGCAGCCCAAATGCCTAAAAGTAGATGACTGGATTAAAAAGATGTGATACACATATACAATGGAATATTACTTAGCAACCAAAGAAAAGAAACACATGTCTTTTGCAACAACTTGGATGGAGCTGGAAAAGATCATGCTTAGTGAGATAAGCCAGAAGGAAAAAGAAAAATACAGGATGGTTTCACTCATAGCAGGAGTATAATGGACCAGGCAAGAAAATAATAAGAATAATGAACAGCCATATACCAGAGAGGGAAGTGCACGGGACTAAGGTGATGGCACGCGAGTGACCTGGCGATGGGAAACCCGCGGGGATTACAATTGAGATGGAAAAAAAATGTACAAAATGATGTAAAATTAAACTATTATATTATATAAAAAATACCCATGTTTAGAGGAAAATCTAGAAAAGCAATAGGTTTTTGGTGAGTTAAGTGACTGTTTAAAAGAGCTGAGAACGGCTCCAGACTATGAGCAACAGGGAATGAGGAGAGAAGAAACAACTAGTCATGTTAGAATTCCAGTTTATTCCAGGAATGCTTTCCTGGAGTCTGTGGTTATATAGCTGCAGTACAATCAAGCAAAGAGAATCCCTTGAAGATGTATTCTCTTTCCATGGAAGGAGGAAAAACTTGGGGCAGATATTTGGTGCATGTTGGGAGTTTATGCAGGAGGGATTCTCTCTACAAACACAGAGCATTAATCACGATGGCTGCTGGAGAAC